TATAGAAATATGTATGACAAAAAATTCTAGAAATAAATATCAAAAGCATGGCTTGCACATTAATCATAGATTAATTTAACGATATATTGTAATGTTAAGCTTAAAATGGGTAGCCGAAAAGGTTCCAACTCTCATAGCTTAAGTGCACTCATTCTTTCATACGTATCCACTTTCAAATACTAGTAGACTGTAGATATATCGATTGTGGTTTCTTTAGAAATTCCAAATCATCGATCCTTGATCATTTTCGCAATTAATTGTAAAAAATCCCCTCGCTTTTTTTAAAAAAAAAAAAAACAAAAAACAAAAAACTGGACATTTGAGGTAGTTTTCGATAGGCCTGAATTTAACAAGAATTACTTCCCGTTGGTCGCCATACTGGAAACGACTCAGTCATTTTTATGCACCTATCGATTCGAGAGGTATATTGTTTTTATCCTTGTCTGTTTAGCTATATGTTTGTCTGTGTATCTGTTTGTCTGTCTGTTGTCAACTATAATCTTTGCCATAACTTTTGAACCGTGAGAGATATAGACTATATATATGGCATGTATGGTCCAAACCGTTCTTAAGTTACACAAAGAATACATATATGTAAAGCATGCAAGCCATGGTGCAAAACATTCAAAAGTTATGGCCAGAGATAAATGATTTAAAAGTATGTCAGACATACTTTTAAAAATCTTTTTAAACAGACGAGCAGAGAGACAGACAGAGAGTGTTTTAAAAGTTTCAACATTGTTAAATTTCAAATCAATAAATTTGGGTTCACTTTTGACTTGGACTTCAGTTTATACGAAATAATTTCTGAAATTTCTGCAGACGGGACAATCTCCTATGTAGAGTTGTCGTTCGCTCTTCTCTCTCAGACACCTCTGCAATGGACTATCATCCAGGAATTTTGACATAACGCATAAAACGAAATATTTTCAAGATTTTTTTTTTTAAATTAAGTAATGTTCTACATTGATTTGGTAAATATTTATCTCAAAACTCAGACATAAGCATACAAATGGAAAATATATCCGAGCCAACGACAAGTTGAATGTATGAGCCGATGGTAGAAAGTGCAGACAAATCTCGTTTCAATTCACTCATAATATTCGATAAACTTTCATCGAGAGAAACATCAAGAATGGGAATTAATTCGGGTGTTGCAGAAGGGGACAACCCTTCGTCATGCTACCCACCTCTTTAGTATTGTTTACATAAAACTAGAGGTCAAAGGCATCAGCGACCATTTTGTTGCTGAGTAGTATAAACTAAACCAAATTTAATTAAATTAAACCATAAAAATCATAAAAATGTTACATTTCGAATCAGAGAGCAGATTAATTTAACATCTTAAAACTACTTTGAAAACAACACTTGTATATAATACATCTTTAGTGTTGATTTTTCGTTTTAAAGTTTTTTTTTATATTAAAGATGATGTCGATTGTCTTACCCATTCCTTCTCGTCAACTTCATCAGGAAGATACAGGTCACCGTACATGTGGAGGTTTTGATATAAAGACAATTAGCAAAGTATCTGATGTAAAACTACTGGATGATCCTGTAGCTAAAGAAGTACCAGCCCCCCTCCTGGGGCATCCAGTCTAAAAATGATTTTTTTATGTGCCCAAATTTGATAGGTCCGGGACGTATATTGTTTTTGCCCTGTCTATCTGTTTGTCTGTCTACAAACTTTAACCTTCGACATAACTTTTTAACCATGAAAGATAGAAACTCCATACTTGGTATGCATACTCCACTAATAAAGCTCTTTCAAATGACACCAGGGTCAATGACCTTGACTGTGACCTATATGTTAAAAATAGCTTTTTTCTACAAACTTTAACCTTTACCATAACTTTTGAACCATGAAAGATATAAACTTTATATTTATTATGCATAATACACACATCGAGTTCTTTCAAAGAATTTAAAGTTCAATGGCCTTGTGACCTTGACTGTCACCTATATGCAAAAAAAAAACTTTTTTTAATTTTGGTTACGCCGGGCGCATAGTGTTTCACAAACACAGCTTGTTTATAATAGTATTTTAAATATATATATAGTTCACAGATTAAAATAATTATAAAAGAAAAAGAAAATGCAGTTTTCAAATTTCATTTAACACAAGCGCTTTCTGGATTTATCATCTGTCTTCAGGTGTATATATTTGAACTGTTATTCCGTTAATTGCAAAACGTTTGAGACATCTCTTGGTTAATCATATCGAATTATACATATTTTATGACTGTACACAGCCATTTTTCTAAGTAACTCTATTTATATATGTGAGAAAACTCATAAAGTCTAAATGTTAAATCATTTTATTTGTCTTGGTTCTTACATTTAAAAAACTCACACTTGCTTTTACATTTTATTTAAATTTATTTCAATTTTTTAATATTTATAAACTAAAAAAATAACGGAACAATGAAGTTTGTATGAGAAATCAATCTATTATCTCAAATGTAAGTTTGAAATACGTTACTTCCTTTAACAAAGATTGTTTTGTGCTGTAATAGTTCGATAAAAATAGTTGGATAAACTGGAAAAAACCAATAAACTTAGTATTTCGCCGTCCTCAACGGTAGTTAAACCTATAAAGAAATCCAGGATAATCGGGGTAACGACATAATGATATAAAAAATATACAATACTGCTGAAAAGTTTTTCTGTCAGTACGATGATTTCCATCATCGAAAAACAATGTTTACCTAACCCTTTAGGCTCGATAAATCGTTTACTCCTTTAAGATTCTGAAAATCATCGCATTTACCTTAAAATATAGCTATAATTGTATAATTTTATGAGATCAACATATCATCAATTTATTCCCAATTAGCCCAGGTGAGCATTTTGGCCGTTACATGTATGTATGGGACATGTTTATGCAATGTTTCAGTTTGCGATGTGCCAGTATACCAGGTACTTAAAAACTTTTGTTTCTATAATGCATAAACAGTGCTATTTTCAATAAGTTTGAAAGCACTGGAAATCTACATTTTCGCTTTTCCACTGCTACTGGAACGTGACGTCAGCACACTTCGGCGCTCTAGGCTGGCATGTTTGGGGAGCCGCTTTGGAGAATGTACATGGCCTGATTGTGATATCGGCGATTTTTAAAATGTTTTAAAATTTCTGCTTCGACTCTTTTATCGAGAATACTTTTAACGGTGTGTCATTCGGCATTCCTATAGCTTTGAAAGGGGCAATCCCGTCTTTCTCCTCTCGATCATGTCGAGTTCACTTCTTTGGCCTATGTCGTAAATATCGTAATTATTTTGCATACGTCTTGGTCATCAATACAACATAGAAAGATTTTGTATTTAAAAATAAAATATAGTTAAACATGTAAATCATTAAAACTTTAAAAATTTGTTTTTAATTGTTATGAGTTTGAATTTTACGACATGTCTAAGTACGAAGACCCACTTAGGGTAAATTGATCAGAAGAATTCATCCTCAAGAGTTCCATCTTTATTGAAAAAGCAGTTGTCAATGATATCAAATACACCGTATACAACGGGTAACGCGGGGGAGTCGCTAAAAAGGATGGGGGAGTGGTTTTAAAAGTATGGGGGAGTAGATTTTCACCGCTTCGGAGTCGGAGGAGATGTGGGTCACGTCTTTTTCGGTATATATAAGATGTATTTACAAAAAACAAATATCCCACGGAAGATGGCAATAGTTAAGCTTTATCGTGGTCATTTGTCCGGTTATCCTATACGTCTAGTTTTCTCAAACACTTCGAAATTATTTGACAGTTTTCATATTCATGTTGATCGGGTGGTAAAAACAAGCATGATTTGCACAATCTACGTCTTGCGTAGGGATTCTCACATTTAAAACAGTAAGAGAAAACGTTTATCTTTTAAATGCAGCAACTTAAACTTAACTAGACTTTATAAAAATTGATAATTAAGACATTTTCTCTTCAGACAGTAACGGTTACGTAGGGGGGAGTCGTTAATGGGAAAGCACATCGCAGGGGGAGTTGCAAAAATGAAGTCAAATGCATATACTTAAATTGGTGTTGTTTTCATCTCTTTTATCTGCCAATACCTTTTGTCCCCCGCTTGAAAAGTGGGGGATATTAATTTGGGTTTGTCCGTTGAGTCCGTCCGTCCGTCCATCCGCTCCTTCCGTCTTTCTGTCTGGTAACGCTTTCGAGCTTTTGCAATGAAATTTAGCATAGCAACTCCTATGGACTAAAGAAGACCCCTATTGATTTTGAGGTCAAAAGGTCAAAGGTCAAGGTCATAAATAAGCAAATTCTGTCTGTTAAAACACTTTCGTTTCCACACGATATCTCTAGAACCATTTGAGCTATTGCAATGAAATTTTATATAACAACTCCCTGTGGCCTAATGAAGACCCTATTGATATTGAGGTCAAAGGGTCAAAGTTCAAGGTCGTAAATTTATACATTCTGCCTGTGTGTAATACTATTATTTTGGGGCATATTTCAAGAAGATTTTGAGCTTATGCAATGTAATTTTATATCAAAACTCCCTAGGACAACTTTGTCCCTTGGGAGGGCCCCAGCCCCGATTGTTTTATTAGTATTTATAGAATTACATGTCGCTATTTTTAGCGCAGGGGCATGAGGAGAGTTTTTTGCGTATAAAACAGCCCAGATAGCAAGACTATGTTGGGCCAACATTGGCAAAAGGTTGTATGGTTGGCGTTGGGGGAACAACGTTGGGCCAACATTTGGACCAATGTCACTATGCCAACCTTTTCGACCATGACAGAATTCCTATGTTGGCCCAACGTTGGTCCAACGTTAGCAACTTCCATTCACTTTACTTCCCAAGGTTAACAATTTCCATTCACTTTACTTCCCAAGGGTAAGGAGCGTAATGTCCCATGTTGGGCTCGAATGTTTGCCTGATGTTTTAATTCACCCTTGAAAGAAGCGTCCTTTAAAGTTGTAAGCAAGCTTATAAAGTTGGTAGTTGTATGTTGGCCCAACGTTGGCCCGATGTTTGTAATACACCCTTAACGAAAGTGTCTTTTAAAGTTGGTAGTAGTATGTTGGCCCAACGTTGGCCCGATGTTTGTAATACACCCTTAAAGAAAGTGTCTTTTAAAGTTGGTAGTAGAATGTTGGCCCAACGTTGGCCCAACGTTGGCCCACTGCGATGTTTGTTGGATGACTGTTTTTGTTTAGATCTGATATATTCAATATTTTTAAATTTTAACTTAAGTGATCACAGCACCAAAGAGTGTTTTATTATATTTTTTGAATTGTGCACATGCATGATTATTTATTTGAAATAAAACCCTTGAAATTATGATTTTTTTTTATGAGCGGTGTATTCATGAGAATTTAGAGATTAAATACGTTCTCAGGAACAGGATGTGAATGAAGCCTACATATACATAAATCAAAATGACACGGCTTTATAATTAAATTGAAACAAAAGTTAAGCGTTCGCTATCACGTGACCAAACTGTGGGGTGAGCTGTCAGATTCAATTGCTCACAGGTGGTGATAATGCAGGGCAAGCAAGAAGAAGTGAAATTTAAATTTGTGGATTATACACTTGCTATACAGCTGCATTTAGAAGCGATGTAAGTATATTTATTCTTATTTATTCAGGTTAAGTGTTAAAATTGACTCGGAATTCATTCTTGTCGTGTTTTTGCAAACAAGCAGTGTAAGTTAAGGTTAAATAACATCTTTTAAGTTGTTTCTATCTATCTAATTCTTAACTGTCTATTACAGACACGATTGTAACAAAGAAATTCAGTCAGAGACTGCAAGGAAAACAAATGTTGTGGCGGTACATGTAAAAAAAACAATGAAATCGAAGACCATGCATAAAGAAGTGTATAAAGTATGAGTCCGTGTGACAAAGATCAAGATAAAGAAAACGGGAGGGGACGAAGGGACGGGAAAAGAGCGGGAATACAACAAAAGGACTATAATAAAGGAAGTGAGCCCTGATTAAGAACTTTTAATTGATAATTTTTCATAAATTACCTCTATTGTCTATCTTAAAATTTATTTTGTAAATTATGATTGAATTGATGTATATAAAATATTATCAGAGTGAATCATTAGTAATGTTTTCATTGAACATGTCCATGTATGCATTATGAATGCAGATTGAATTGTGTATTAATTATTTTAAACAGTCATAAAATAGGTTTATGTAAAAGAATCACTTAAACAATTCCAAATGTTTCTATGTAATAACTACGTTGGCCCAACAATTTGCCATCTGACATTGTAAAAAAAGGGTCACATTGGGCCAACCTAACCAACCAGTTGTTAAGGTTGGCTGTTAGTTGGCATACACTAATAACTATGCCATCTGACATTTTAACATAGGGCCAACGTTGGGCCAACAATTGTTAAGGTGTCATCTGACATTTCATCACATTTCAACATAGGGCCAACGTTGGGCCAACCTAACCAAACAGTTGTTAAGGTTGGCTTTTAGTTGGCATACAATTATACCTACGTTGGCCCAACAATATGCCAACATGTTGGACCAACGTTGGGCCGATGAGCAAAATTACCGTGGGCCAACGTAAGGTTACCAACAGTGGGCCAACGTTGGAAAAAAAATTGGGCCAACGTTGGCCCAACTATGTCTTGCTATCTGGGAGGTTCTCGGCTGACTTTATGTTCTTATTACATCTATTAGAACTGTTTAATAAAGGCTAAATAAATCAAACACCATGGATTGTGTAAAATTTTGAGAATACCGAACATGAAAACATGAATGACTTCACTTCTGCATATACTTCACGCCAAACACAGCGATTCCGTGGTCTAGTGGTTATGTCTCTCGCTTCTTGTGTGAGAGGTCGCGGGATCGAATCTCGGTCGAACCGTTCTTTTTTTTTTTTTTAATCCCTTTTTTTTAATTAAATGATAGTATTCAGCATGTGAAATGAAAAATTTATGAGGTTATAAAATCATCATTACAGTATGATAAAAATCCCATATAAAAAAATTTTCTATACACATAATGAAGAATAAGCAATCAAATCTTTATATGCATATTGACATACATGTTTTTTATTTGCTTCACTATACATGTATACATTCAATAATTCTACAAATACAGTCAGGGGCAACCGACTTTTTCCCTAAGCGGGGGACACGAATTCTCTGAATTAGCGTGTTATGTATTGAATTCGTAGATATCTATAAATCTATGTTTGGTTATTTACTTTATAATCTGAAGCTAAGAAAAGAGATTTTTTCGTGGCTTTATCAGTTCCAGAAAACAATCAGCAATTTAGATTACATGAACAATTGGATTATATATCATCGGAGCACATGTGCTTGGGGACAGCCCCCCCCCCACCCCCTCAGTATGTATAATGTTCGTACATGTATATCACAAAAAATCAATTAACGAATTCAGAACCCACACATCCAATATGAAAACCACTCCATAAAAAAATCAAACATCCGCCACAAATAGTTCATGTCATTTTCTCCTGAATTGATCTAATTTTCATAATTTGAAATGTAAGTAAATGTAATAATGATAAATTAATCTTAATTTGAATATTAAATTTCGTTCAAAGTAAAACTAAATTATAAAGAACCTCAAAAGTTTTTCGTTATGGAACTCATTTTTTGTGTGGCGTCATACACCGAAAAAAATACGATCGACAACTCTACATACTAACGGCAATCGGTAAATCTAGTCGTCCCGACGCCCGACGGTCCCAGATTTTTAGCAATTTCTTTTTTACCGGTGCACAGAATTTATTCAAACTTTTCATGAACATTTTCTTGGTTTAAGTGAATTCGTTAATGCATAAAAACTTTAGGAAACATGCGTATTTATTACTAAATCAGCAGTATCACCAGCCAAAAGCGGTAAATCTAGTACTCTGTGATAAATGTTAAAACCAAAAAACGGACACTGATGTTTTCGTAAAATCATTTCGTAAAAAGAACAAAATGAAGTTTTTTTTTAATAAAAGGAAAACCTCATTTACATACCGGAAAACTCGTACGCACACAAACTCTCACATATACCACTGTTTTTATGTTTGTTCATTAAATATTTGTTTAAATTTGGTATTGCTTTTTTTCTTCACAGTTATAAAAAAAATTTAAGTTCTGACGTACTCCATGTATAATGTTCGTGTAATTGAAATACATTTATATAACATACCTGTTAGCTCATAAAATTAAAGGATGCTGTGTTAAATCCACGTTTTATCAACATTGATATTATTCCTGCAAAACTGAAATTTTCATAACAAATGTGTAAAGGTGCACTGCAAAAATATATTACAAATTTGAAGACTGTGAGCAGTGAATTATATGAATGATCAACCGCCTCTAATATGAATATAATGGCAGTGTCCATGTTTTGCTATGGGAAACGCAAAATATATGTGTAGGATGGAAAAGTAATAGAAGGTGCACAACGGCAATATGTAATAAAGATTCTATGAAAATTTCATTCAGTGGTGTAAGAGGAATTGCGGATAACAGATGGGTATACCTAAAGCGTAACAAACAGATAGACAGAAATCCCGATTAATCTGAATGTCTTTCTCAAGATTTTTGCAACTCAAAAAATCTTAAACTGTTGTCTTTATTTGAAATAATAATATTGTTCACTCACTTAACCTCCCGATCAAAGATTTTATTTAACACCACGTTCAACTCCCATGAGTGCTTTCAGTACTTTGATTTTAAATTAGAAAAACTCAGATCTCTGACGCGTCTTCACGCCCCTAGACGTTTTCTTTGGAAAGGGGGTTAAATTTAACTGGTATATTGTTACAATTAGGCTCATAATTTATTATTTATTCATCATATATAGTAACACATCTTCAGACACAAACGAATTAGTATCATAATGTTAATTGAGAATATTTTGGATAATCTGAGGTTAATACACATAGGTAAATGTACAGAATGAATGCTGAAGAAGGAACTGGATTGCATATTACCTAAAACGCTGGAAATGTATGTCTATGATAAATAAAATGAGAAGTTTCAATGACAATGTAAAATTGATTTACCAAAAACTTCGAAAAGAAGAAATACAAAAATATTTCTTCAATGTAAACATTTCGTTATCATGATACCCTCCCTTACCTTGCCCCATCTATATACAGTTCCTCAGAAGTCTTACCCCTTACCCCTCCCCCTTTTCGCAGTTTCGTGAACACATAGCATGGCGGGTTGTTGTACCAGAATCAGTCTGAGGCGACCAGCATTATACTCGTACATTCATAGACATGGTTCGATGGCAACATGCGATTTGTCGAACCCAAGAACCAAACTGCTTGCACAAGACGATTAGGCCGAAGGCAAATAGTTTTGTTCAAAAGATAACAGAAAACACGTTTTGCCAGATGTCAACACATTTGATAACTGTTTTGAAATATATTTTAGGTTACCTATGATATTATCATGATGAAATTTTTGTTAACCCTCACTGCATTAAAAAAACTGTCAATTTCGTAAAGTTGTGACAGCTGACCCCGCCCACACTTTGACGTAAACGGTGCAATATCTCATCAAAAGGTCCAACATCTCGCTCCACGGTCAAACAGCTATTTATTTGATATTTGACTTATGAAAACAGTAGAAATGTTATTTTTTTTAGTGTAAATTTATGTAACAATTTTTAAAAGTGTAACAAACAAAAATTACAGACAACTCACCTGAAAAATTTTGACAAGCAAAATAAAAAATGGGTTGGTGAAAGGAGGTTACAACAGTTTGACAGCCAAATTGTATAAACACATTAGCAAATAATATTTACTTTAATTTAAGCATTTTGCAATAATAATAATAATAAAAATGTTTGATATTATTTAGAAATTTTTCAAATTATTGATCGGGTTGTTCTTTTTTATGGAGAGTCTTTCATATTGGAAGTGAGGGTTCGTGAACTCGTGAATTAAATTTTTGCGATATAAATGGACGAACATTACATACTGAGGGGGGGGGGGGTCCTGTCCCCACGCACATGTGCTCCGATGACATATAATCCAATTGTTCATGTAATCTAAATTGCTGATTGTTTTCTGGAACTGATAAAGCCACGAAAAAATCTCTTTTCTTAGCTTCAGATTTTGAAGTAAATAACCAAACATAGATTTATAGATATCTACGAATACATAAAAAGGTATTGGCAGTATAAAAGAGATGAAAACAACACCAATTTAAGTATATGCATTTGAATTTATTTTGCGACTCCCCCTGCGATGTGCTTTCCCATTAACGACTCCCCCCTACGTAACCGTTACTGTCTGAAGAGAAAATGTTTCAATTATCAATTTTTATAAAGTCTAGTTAAGTTTAAGTTGTTGCATTTAAAAGATAAACGTTTTCTCTTACTGTTTTAAATGTGAAAATCCCTACGCAAGCCGTAAATTGTGCAAATCATGCATGTTTTTACCACCCGATCAACGTAAATACGAAAACTGTCAAATAGTTTCGAAGTGTTTGAGAAAACTAGACGTAAATGATAACCGGACAAATGACCACGATAAAGCTTAACTATTGCCATCTTCCGTGGGATATTTGTTTTTTGTAAATACATCTTATATATACCAGAAAAAGACGTGACCCACATCTCCTCTGACTCCGAAGCGGTGAAATCTACTCCCCCATACGTTGAAAACGACTCCCCCATACTTTTTAGCGACTCCCCCGCGTTACCCGTTGTATACGGTGAAATAGCTTGGACTAAAATTTATGGTGGGAAATGGTTGTGTATAGAGTTAAAAAGTCGTATACGTTTTTAAGGTATTTCTATCCGCCTATGATTTCATAATTTTTTTTTTTTCGAAAACTGTTGTTAATTTAAATTCATACCCAAAAGATCCAATTTTTTTTTTTTTGAAGAATGTTTTTCAATAGGTGTTATGAAAATATTGTCAAGTAATAGAATTTTTAAAAAATAATGTATATTTTTACTATTTTGTCAAATATTCTAATCTTTTAAAAAATGTGACAAAGGCAATAACTACTTCTCAGATATCTTCTTTCAGATATTTATTATACTCCTAATTAAAAAAATCCTGATATTCTCATTTCAAAATTATCTCATAAGTAT